AGACTTCAGTACTCTTTGCTCCATCGAAAATGCAATCCGTGTGTCTACAGGGATCGAGGAAATGGCAGGAACTCTGAGCGCCGCAGCAGTCTCCTTGGAGATAACCACAATCTTGTCATTGCTTTAATTAAAAGAGAAACCAAAGTTTCTCACAAACACCCTCAGTTCCCCAGGCCTGTGCTGTCATTAAAGCTTCAGGGGAAATCATTGAATTGTCATAGGTAATGAGGTCACAGGATCACAAACCCATATCTCAGGGTCTGGCTTTTTCCCTCCAGTGCAACACTGGCAGCTGGGACCATCACATTGCGCCCACGGTTCTGTCATCCAAAGGCATTCGGACTCGTATTTTCTGTCTCAGTGAGAGGCAGACTGCAACGAGGAGGAGGAGCCACAGAGTCTGGGTAAGTGACCACACTGGAAAGAGGCTGGGTTTGCACCTCGTCCACTGCTGGAGCCACAGGGGAAGGAATTCTGAGACAGGAGCAGAGCTCCTAAGGAGATTGGGGTCCTAGACCTTACATGATTCCCTGATGGTTCCTGGAGTATCACCCACAAAACAGCGACTGCATTTGTCCAAGAGAAACCTGTATTTGGTGTGTTTAGAGACGGTAATTCTGAAACCTTCCTGCTATTCAGACATTACAGAATCGTAGTGTAAATGTTGAGGATCACTAGACGCACACCTGCAATACCTCCATGCGTAACCTCCATGCGGCACGAGGAGGCTAACTCTCCAGGAGCCATCTGATCTCACACAGAGACAGTAGAGCTGAGTGACAATCGACGGGACAGAAATGTCCTGACTGAATAGATGAAGTGCTTAATGGAAACAGCGATGGCCTCTTTCCAGAAAACACCCAAGATCTGTTCCTTCTACTGGCACTCACCCGTCCTCAAGTTAGAGATGCAGCGTTGAAGACGAGGTAGCCGAATAATGGGTCTCACACAGCAGCTGTGAGGCACACACGTATCTCCTCTATGTCCTCTGTCTTAACAGCATTGTCATATCAATTGCAAGACGAACAAGCTCAGTTTATAAAATGCATGTCTCACACCTTACTGTGCTTTATGTCTTCATGTTCTACAAATCTAGTGTTATTGTTAATGCTTTTACCTAAGCCAGGTTTGAATAGATAGATGAGGGCCAGCAGGTGACGTGGTGGTGAGGGGCTGGATCCCACATAGCTGACTGTGTGGTTCAAGTCCTGCACCTGGCAGTTTGAAAATCACGCTGGGCACCTAGCCATGTGTGCTGAGAATCTCAAGAGATGAATGAGAGTGGAGGGACTGTGGCATGGCCATCTCCCCTGGGCAGTGATTTCTCACTTTTTCTCTCTGTCTCTGGCCAGTGCATGTGCCCATTGACAGACAAACAAAAACCCTTAAAAAATAGATAAGTGTAGGCTTTGGAATGAGTAACACTGAATCTCTGCACGTTTGCATTCTTATTGGTGTTTCATGTCCTGCGGTTTAGGACAAGACAGAGATGCCTCCCGGCATAGCGAACATTTCGTTCCTGCCATAAAAGGAAACCCACGTCCCTGTTATCGCCTGAATATAAAGGAAACTCTCTATTCTGTACATATAGTTTATCATGGACCAGATCTGTATACAACTATTCTACAATCCGTATCTCTCTATTTTACGAAGATTTCTCCATTTTTACTCACAACCAGTATTGGCTTATACATAAATCTTTACACATAACTGGGAACTTGTTACAACTTAAGTTATAAAAGACCCTCTATCTGAAATAAAATGAGAAGGTTGTAAACAATGAACTATCTGTGGGTATTATTTGAGAGCAATCATTCACTCCGTTAAAATCGGACACTGTGTGCTGCCGTGTCTTCATCAGCCCTGCCAGCTTCTCAACACTCTCCCATTAAAAAAACGTATAAACGTACACAAATCTCTAGCTCGTCTCCCGGAGTGCACTTTATCTTTCTGTGAACTGAATAGCATTTACTGTTCCATGGGGTTAAAAACAATGCAGGATTTACTGCACATACGGCACCCACGGCATTGGTTCCTGTTCGGTGGGTGCTCCTTAAGATAATATAGTCAGCTCTTGAACACGTGAAATGACAGGAAGCTTGTCAGATTTCGGAGAGACAGCACTAAGTGGAAAATACTGCATTGGGCCTGAAATGACACAGGAGCTCTTGCCCCTGTTCCCTGCAGGAACTCCAGGCTCAGAAGGAGACTATGTCACTGGGAGCTGACAGGATGGCCATCTGGAAGTTAGCAATAGGAACGACGTTTTTACTGCAGACTGGAGTTGGAGTTCTGGGGAATTTCTCTCTTCTTTGCCACTATCTCTACCTTTACTGCACGAAATGCAGGTTTAGGCCCACAGATCGGATCCTCCAGCACCTGACTGTAGCCAACTGCTTTGTCACTCTCTCCAAAGGAGTCCCGGAAACGCTGGCAGCTTTTGGACTGACACATTTCCTGGGTGATCTTGGGTGCAAACTTGTTTTCTATCTTCACAGAGTGGGCAGGGATGTGTCCATGGGCACCACCTGCCTCCTGGGTGTCTTCCAGCTGGTCACCATCAGTCCCAGGAGCTCCAGGTGGCCGGGACTTAAAGTGAAAGCTCCCAGGTATCTGGGCACCTCCAGCATCCTCTGCTGGGTCTTGAACCTGGGGCTAAATATTACAGTTTTCATGAATATGACTGGCAGGAGGAGCAACCAAAATAGCTCAAAGGAAATGGATTTGGGGTACTGTTACGCTGTCCTTCAAGAGAAAATTACGTCGGCGCTGTACGTACCGTTGTTAACATCCCGGGACGCCGTGTGCATGGGAGTCATGCTCTGGGCCAGCGGCTCCACGGTTCTCACCCTGCACAGGCACAAGCAGCGGGTCCGACACATCCATAGGAGCAC